TCTCTCTTTCTTTCTTTCTTTCTTTCATTTTCTTTGTTGTTTGAGACAGGATCTTGATACTATGCAGTTCAGGCTGGTCTTGAACTCACTATGTAGCTCAGGGATGCCTCAAACTTGCAATGATCCTCAGCCTCCTGAGTGTTGGGGTCACAGGTGTGTACCACCACACCTGGCTCTTTCTAGCTTTGAAACGGTCACTCTTGAAGGTTTATTAGTTGGGCCACCGTTTGAACCATCATTTGGGTTCATCCACGGCCATTTATTTCTACTAAATATATAAAATGAGGTATTTTAAGTGGAATTTTGAATAGGGCACAACGTTTGTTAAAATAAGTAGGTTAAAATGCCCATACTTACTCCTTCTTGTGTTTTTCTGACTCCAAGCTGGAGGCAAGTGGCAAATGTCTAGGTCTGAGGGAGACTGGCTACACTATGATCCACTATGGGGGATCAGCAAGGGAGCTGGCAGCCCCGCCTCTGTCTCCACTCTGGTTGAGATCTTTAACCTCTGACTGCCCTGTGTGTGCAAAGGTATTTAGCGAGAACCACACTAGCGCAGGCATCGTGCAGGCGCTGGGACACAGGGTGAGGGGGATGATCCATGCCCTGAGGGCCTCAGAGTCTAGTGGCCAAGGAAAGCAAAAGGTAGAGATCTCTGTTACATCCTTGCCCCCACCCCTAGGGCTCCTATCTTGAGCAGACGCCCTGTCCTGCAAGTGAGACGCATACACATAAGAGGGCCTAGATGAAGTAGTGGTGGCAAACCTATGGCACACATGCCACAGAGGACTGTTGGTGTGATTGGGAGCTCTAGAAGGTTCACCATCTCTGAAGAGTGTCTCTGAAGTCTAAGTGCCTAGCCAGGGTAAAAGGCAGCAAAGGAGAGTGGAGCTCAAAATGAACCAAGTGTGCGCATGCCTCTGTGTGTGTGTGTGTGTGTGTGTGTGTGTGTGTGCGCGCGCGTACCTGTGTGCATCAAAAGGTGAGACTTCCTTTGGGCCAAATAGGGCAGCTGAATGTGACCCAGCCTTGCTCACGCTGCATTTCCTCCTCAGGCTTTCTCCATCCTCTCATGCTCAGGAGAAAACATGGACTGTGTGCCACCAGAGGATCTCAAGACAGCCCCCAGACACAATGCACTCTGTTCCACGATTAGTCATGGCCACAGCGGAAATGTGAAAACCAAACACAAAACAGAAGCGCTCTCTAAGAATTCACCTCTCTGGGACTGGAAGTAACCACACATCATTCATCAAAGTCTGGCCGAAAGCATGGAGCCCTGTGGCTCTGATAACATCTTACCATGCAGCCGACTCCCTCCCCTCACCAAGCCCCAAACCAGCCCTCGTCAGGCTGGTGAACAGATGTGCAGATGGGAAAGGAGCACTGGGGACCCACAAGTAGGCTGAGGCCCGCAGGTCATCACCCCTGGCTGTATGTGGGGATGTGGGGGTCAAAACAAAGCAATGAAGAGCTCCCTCACAAGCCCACCCCCCTGTCTGCATGGCAGGCCTGGGTTCTTCAGGTCTGAGTGGATGGGAGGACAGGAGTTACAGGTCAGGTGGCGACCAAAGCTCCCCAAAGACAAAGATAACTGGAGCTATTTCCCTGTGCACGGGCCCAAAAGACCACAGGGGTTTGCTGAAGAGGTGCAGGCGTGCAGCTCGTGGGGAGCAGAGCTTTCTCTGAGCAGACATGCAGGAGCAGTCTGCCGAGGGCCAGGAAATGGCTCCTGGTTGCTGTTGCAGGCCAGCCTGGTTTACCTGGTTGGAGGGCCTTGTTAAAGTCACTGCCCTCAGCTTCTGTGCAGTGAAGGAGGTGACCCTGCCGGAAGAGGAGACATTGCCACTTTGACTCTACTTCCAGGCCTGTGCTCGCTATAAGCCCGGCAGGCTGCTGCCCTCTACCTGTGTCACTTTGTGCTCCACCTAGTAAGCTTCTACTGCTCGTCCCTAATGCAGCTCCCACCCTCAGACCAGAAGGCCAGCCGCCTTGTAGCCGGCCATCATTTCTTGTCTCTGCACACGTCTCAAGGTCCAGGCCCCAGCTTTTCTTCCCAACTCTAGCTGGGGTGTAGAGAGTGAAGCTTGGGAATCAGACTCATGAGCTGCTGTCCCAAGGTAAATCACTTCCCAGCAGAGGCTCTTTTCTTCATGAAGTGTGAGTGATAATGTCTAAGGATTAGAAATGACACTGTGAGGGGCAGGCCACCCACATGCTCAGGGGCTCACAGCCACAAGGGGGGGCAAGAGCATGAAAGCGCCTTGGAGGTCGGCAGACCCACTTGCCACAAGGACTCTTGCCTTGCAACTATACAGGTCTGCATGCCTGAGCAGGAATGCCACAAACGTCACCCAGAAAACCGAGGACCGCCAGCTACCTCTGCACCACACACAAGATCCCAGGAACACGGGCATGTCAGAAGGAGAGTTCTGTGACAGCTCTGTTCCAGCATGCAGGGCCCTGTGTGCCTTCTCCAGAGCAGAAGGAGGACCTCTGTTACTAATAATCTCTGTTACTGTCACCAGTGGGGTCAGTGACAGTGGCATTTAAGGAGTGGTCTCACTTTGGAAAGAATACAAACCAGAAAACTAAGTAAGACTCTGTGTGTGGTGCCTAAGGTAGAGGAAGGTGGGCACAGAGTCTCCCTTATCCGTGGCTTCAGTTACCCATGGTCTGGAAATGTGAAAGGGAAAACCAAGAAATAAACAATTCACAGATATTTGATAACTTTTATTATGGTATATCATTGTAACTATCTCTTATTATTAGTTATTATCGTTAGTTACTTCATATGCCTAACTATAGATTCGACTTTATCATGGATATGAACGTACAGAAAAAGCATAACATATAGGGTTCAGAATTATCTGTGGTTTCAGACATCCTCTGAATGCCTTGGAACTCACTCTAAGGACAAGGGGGACTACTGCATTAGAATTTTTTATTTTATTCTGAAAATATCTTTGAACACACACAGATTCCAATTAAAAAATTGGAATTATAAATAGGATAATGAAGGAGATCCTGTTGGAAAAGGCTCTCTTCATCTGCCTGGAGGGCCCAGACCACTGAATCCTCTAGTCCCATCTGTCCTCTGTGATCTCAGTCCTCTATATCCTAAATACCGTGACTTCATCTTCAAAGGCTACCAAAAGCAGGTGGATGTGAGCAGCCCTCTCGTCTGCCTCTAGGGAAGTGTTTCCAGTTTCCCAATCTCCAAGTTCTGGTGCAAATTGCCAGGGCCTTTACTGCCTTGATCCAGTACATGCCGTCGCTTCCTCAGCAATAACTGAGTGCCCTTGGTGAGTTGGACCCACTTGTGTGATACAGGCTCAAGGGCAATATGCCTGATGTGCCAAGAATGGCAAACGCCAGCTGAAGAGGCTCAGCTCCAAAGGCACACAGCTACACGCAAGAAGTCAAACTGATTGGGAAGAAACAGAATTGAATATTAATTCTTAATTCAGCAATTCAAACTTGCTCACTTAAGGATATAACTTTTTTAAGCCTATAGCAATCAACATTCAGAGGTGAATTGTGCCTGCCAGCCAAGCAAGCAGTAGAGTAATTAAGAATATGAGTCAAAGTCAAACTAGACAAGTTTAAATCCAGTTACAGCTCTATGACTCCGAGCAGAAATTCAAACTCATAGAGAGTGTTTTAAAGGGGAAAGGTAGTATATCCTCTAGTTACTCATAAATGTTTCTGTAAAGGCTAAATAACTGTATATAAAGTAGATGGCAGGGGTAATAGTTGAATACATCCTGCTTTTGTTTCTAAGATGTTAACCCTGATCCCAAGCAAAAATGAAAAGCAGTTTTTAAAGAGCATTTCATCTTGTAAAAAACTCTGCTGATTCTTCTGCAAATTCTGAAGGATCAAGAGCAAAAAAGGCAAGTTATAGCCCTGACCTTCAGAAATGAGCGAGGCACCTGAATGCACCTGCCACTTACCCCTAGGATTCCAAGGCGCTCGGACAGGCTCCAGCCACAGAGAAAGTCGATTTCAAACTTGTGGTTCAGAATCACGATGGCATTTTCCTTTCCGTACTTGGGGTAGACGTGCGGGTCTGTGTAGATGGTGCACTCCGTGCCCGACCACCACTCCAGCAGCATCACCAGCTCTGGAACAAACCATAGCAACAGGCAGATTGATGTTTATCTCACCAGCCTGTGATCTCAGGTCAGTTCTTCTGGGCCTTGCTGGGGGAGAGAGCAGGTTTTAGGGTCAAGTTCTGGGTTATTTTAGCCCAGACTCCAATCCCTGAAAGAATTTAGAAGCAAAAGGAACAATGAAAAAGATTCCAAGGGTTGCAGAGGAAGCTTTGGGCCAGCCAGTGACTAACATTGCTTGATTAAGTACCTGGAGAGAAAATAAATCGTGAAATTGGACTCCACCAAGGGCCTGCGCCCTTGGGTTGACAGAGCTTGGAAAGGCAACGTGAGGTGATGTGGAAAATGACTAATCGGTGCACTTGTAAACTCCATCCATGAACACTAACTACCCACTTTCTCTTCTCCTTGATGACCTTGGAGGGTACCAGGACTAATGGAGGACCGCGCTCTGTGGTAGTGAAATTCCAGCACTGGAAGATCAAGGGTACATTGGAGTCATCATTCTGAAGGCTCCAACAAAACTACTGTAAAGGAACACATTCTCTGAAGGTGCCTGGGTACAGGCAATAGAGACCATTCGAATGTAGTCTCCAGTAATGCCTCTAGTCTGATTGGCCAGTTTTCTAACTGGTGACCTCAGGAAAAGCTCATATAGCAAAAACTGTCCAGAAAAACAGTGGAATGTTGCTGATCATATAGCATCCAAAATGAATTTTTAAGGCAGAAGGTCTTGGCAGATGAGGAGGTGAGTACATGAGCCGTTGCATGACTGGTTAGAAGGGTGCACATTTGGCAATGGGGTCTCCACCCCACATGCACATGAAGGAAGGTGAATCTGAACTTGGCTGCCCTTGGAGGCTGCATGTGAGCACCAGAACCCTCTGGAAATCCACGATCTAGCTTCCAAGCAGTGGCACTGTGTGGCTGTGGACGAGCCAACCCCAAGTGCCTGGGAACAGGCAATAGAGACCATTTGAATGTATTCTCCAGTGATGCCTCTAGGCTGATTGGCCAGTTTTCTAAAAACAGCATGCTCATCTCGAGTGGCGTTTCCTCACAGGGATTTGGAGACACTAAAGTGTGGGCACTCAGGGCATGGCACACAGTAAGCTCCCATTCCAAACAAAAATACCCTCTTTGTCTCCCAGAAGTGAGTAATAAGATGGGTCTGACTATTTCTAGTTGTCTCACTGGGTATTGGTGGCAGGGAGAAATGGCAAGTAAGGAACAAAGAGTTTGGGAGGAGGAGGAGGGGCTGGAGCACAGCATGCAACCAAGTAAGGCTGCCGATAAAGGGATCCATCCATCGTCCCCACTGGGCAGGCAGAAGATCCTAGTACTGCATGAATTTCTTCTAAGAACCAGGATGGGTAGGAGCTACCTACTCCATTACTGGCATGTGGAAGTCAGGGACTCAAGGCTGAATGGCTTGTGTGACCTACATCCCCAGTGTACCTTAGCCTATGGTGGAATGTCTCCGTGCTCCTCCTCCCTGCCATTCATATGCTCCCACCCAGCACTCTATCACTCTTTGAATACAACACAAGGTTATCTCCTCCATCGTAGACCCCAGGTGCCATGTGACTGTGTTTGGTTCACCCCACCCCTATATGGGCTCCAGTATTTAGCAAGAACTTGGCACACTGGTGCTTTTGAACAACGATGTGTTTACCTAGCTGTTCTGACAATGAATACCAAGGACTCAGATTAGAACCCTATCCTCCTAGGGAATACTGCCCAGGGCAAGACAGATCAACAATCCCAAAACAGTGTGACAGGGAGAAGGAGAAAGATCTGTTAGTGCATCACTGCAGAATGTCATGCCCAGGGAGCCCAGAGTCAGATCCAGGCAGGCGCCACACCTGCTTGGGTCACACACTGTCTGGAGACCTCAGTATTTCTCAGTGCCCTCCTGTCCATAAACCAGGGATAGCAAATGCTTTTGGAGATGCTGTGCATATTACATACGATTATGTGTGCAAGGCACCCAGAGGGATATCAAGCATCGTAGGTGATCAATAAATAGCCAACTTTTAGTGACTGTTGTATACAGGACAACTTTATGATACACAAGGCTCTGTGACCCCTGAAGGTGGGCTTCAGGGAGATAGAGGCCCACAGAGAGTCCTGAAGACAACTCTGTGAGTTCTGATTGATGATTTCATCCTAAAAGCATTTATTGGAGCATACAGAAATGAACCCACATCAGCACCTAGTTTGTATTTTGAAATATCACCCCGACTGAGGAGGAGACAGATTGGTATAGGGAAGGCAGAAACAGGGAGGCCAGTGAAGAGGGGACCATGGCAGCCAAGTGAGGGGATGGTGGCTGGGGTAGGCGGGTAGCAGTGAGTAAGGCTAAATTCTCACTCATCTCAACAGGCTGCTAACTACAGCTAAACTCCAAACCTCACTGGCTAAAGGAGTTTTATATTCTTCCTTCCACTCCTGTCTTTCTTTCTTTTGCTTTTTTCTCTTTCTTTCTCTCTCCTATAAGTTTTCTAGATTTTTTTAGTCACAAGGAACATAATTATACAGTCTTATTATAAAAGAACTATATCTATCCAGAAATACATAGAGGAAAATGTGACATTCTCCTTGATAGCTTTGGAAGGTGGCAGCTGGGTTAGCCCAAACTACATGTCCCAGAAACCCTTTCTAGTATGTCTTTGGGAGGAGGGCACCACACTCATGGAGGTTTGGGGTGTGGAAGGGAAGAAGCTCCATTTCATAGTTCATACATGCTGTTGCTGATCTGGTGATCCATGGCTTACATGTGTGTAAAACACCTGCTGGGTCTGCTGCTGCTTCTCTTTCCCTCGATTCTTCATCAGATTCTCTAATGTCAGGCCAGGTGCTTGAGCAAGACACCTACTGCATCAATGCCAGATTCCCTACCAGTACTGGATCCCCACTGCTGCCAGATCTCTATCAGTGCCAGATCCCCATCAATGTCAGAGATCCCCATCAACGCCAAACGCAACAAGAACGGATGCACATTCTCATGCGCTCTAGCTGATGCTTGCAGGAGGCTCTCACCTCTTGCTCAGCCTCGATTTATATCCCTTACCCTTCTTGACTACCTGCCCTTTGGACTCCAGGCTCCAGCACCTCACACAGCAGGACAGCCCTACAGAATCTCCCTGACAAGCCGTGTGGTTAATAAGGCTATTTCCTGTGACCAGCCCTTTTGTAGGTGTGCACATGCCACGGTCTCGCAGTGACTCTGCTTCTGGGCTGAACCTGGCTGAGATATTTCCTCCTTACCACCCCACCCTTTCCCTTCCTCTGGGTTAACCCTTAAGAACAGTGTGAGTGTGAACAGTTTAGAACAAGATCCCTGCTCCTTTTCCTAGGCATGCATTTACAGACACACATGCATCACCCCTTGGATGTGTTCATAGATATGTTTTCAAACAGTATATTTTAGACCATTTCCTGTTAGATAGACGGAGAGAGAGAGAGATGATAGATAGATAGATAATCAGTACATATTTATTGAGCACTGGTCCCACACTAGGTGCTTTATGTGTGAGACTGCGTTACATACACAATGTGCAGCACTATATTATTATCCTCATTTGAAAGACCAAGAAATAGAGACTCTCACATTCTTTGTTCACTGTAAGAAACTACCATTTTCAAGTCAAAAGTAGGCAGCATGGCAACTTCGTAAAGTCCAAGGGTATGCAATAGCTGCGTACCACTTGGTGGTAGGGATGTAACCTGCTGTGCTCAGCCGTCCTTCTACTGATTATCACTTTTGCTCCTGTTTTTTTAGTTATAAATAAATAATATCGTAACAAACATCTTTGAAATGTATATTTGTACAAATATTTCTCCTGCATAGATATACCAGAAGTGGAATTATAAATTTAAATACATATTTTTATATATATATATATTTTTAATTTTTGGATACTTTCAAATTATCCTTTAAAAATATCTTTGTAAAGTATGCATGAGTCAACAATGTACCAGGAGATCTTTTTATTATTTTGTGGACTCACAGTGCAAGCTCCATGAAGGCTGAGACCAAGTGTGCCCTCAGCACATGCTCCCATTGTGGGTGGAGTTCCTGACCTCCTCAAGGCCAGGCCCATGTCTGGCTCATCTCCATTTCCTATGACCTTGCCCAAATAGCCAACACAGTGTAGGAACTCACCTTTTGGCTTTGAGTGATTCACTAGCTGTTTTAGTTGTATGTTCCTATGCAGATATTTATGACTTGGAAACATCTCCATGAGTTCAGGTATCACTTACTCTCGTGCAGGGTTGTCAGCAGTGCTGCCTGACCTCAGCCTGGGGTGCCTTGGGGTCTTGTGGGTGTGGGCAACTCCATCAATGCTAACACGTTTCAGCCTATCCTGCCCAGCCTTACCACTCACTGATGGTGGCAGATCTCAAAATTGCTTTCTCCTTTCACAAAACTTCGTCTCTGCATAGTCTTTCAAAGGACACATCATTTGGCACTTGCGATTTAACTCAGCAAGTTACCAAATGCCCCGGATGGACCCTGACTGGGTGTGGTAGGTAATTTCCGTTGCTGTGGTAAAATACTTGAGATTAATCAGCCTAAAGAAAAAGTAGGCTTTTTTGGCTCATGGGTCTGTGGTTGGCGGGCTCTGTTGCTTTGGGTCAACTGTGTCAGGCAAGTGTGTGTTGGAGCAAAATGGCTTTCCTCATGGCAGCCAGGAAGTGGGGTGGGGGGAGAGATGGATTAGGGTCCCAACCTCCTTTCAAGGGGATCTAACTTCCTCCTGCTAGGTCTCATCCCCTAAAGGTTCTTCCACTTCCCACAGTGAACAAAGCCTTTAGCACACAGGCCTTTCAGAGACAGGCCAGATCCTAACTGTAGCACAAGGGAACTTGAGCGGCCTGGAAGAAAGCAGAGCCTACAGTGTCCAGTTAAGGGATGAATCACTGGCAAAGAACTTCAGGTTCAGAGAGTGGAGAACTTCGGTAACAAGCACTGTGATGTCAGAAGCCAGTAATCAATCTACAAGGA